AATACAGAAATGTGTTGTTTTTCTACTTAATAGATGACCATTCAGCCCCAAAACATACTAAATTGGTATTTTAATTCTGTATGCCTTGCCAATCTCTTTCAAACCACTAGGTTGTAAACATTTGTCAACATGGATGTTTCAATCATTTATAATTGTATTAAATTTTGTGTGATCACTAATTGTGTTATGTATTTTAGTAAGTAGTAGAGTTCAGTTTAAGCTAGGCTTGTCACGATATTAAAATTCGGCACCAATAGAAAAGCTTAAAAAGCGTTCATTTCCTGCTAATATTTGAGCGCTGTTGAGCACGTTCTTAAACAGAGCTGATTTGCCATTGTGTTCACATGCTCAACAGAAATGACTGTGATTGGCCGTGAAGGTCATCAGTTCACTTAATTTACCGCTGTTTACTGAGGCCTCGTTTACACTAATGCGTTTTAGTTTGAACACTTAAGTTTTGCTACGGTTACACCATCCGTCCACACTACGCCGGAGTTTTCGAGCGCGGAAAACGGAGCGTTTTGGAAACCCTTGGAGAGGTTGTTTTCATTCTGAAGCGCTGCTGCTCCGTCTCAGTGTGGATGAGGGAAAACGGAGACATCTGAAAACGGAGGCGGGGCTGCTGAGATTCGCTACCTGATTGGGGCTTTTGTGTCATTGCGTATCCTTCCCTTATTCGTCAAGCCACTATCACATGACTATAACACATGGCTTTAACGCTACCGGAAGACAGCAGACCAGCCTTCACTGTAAACAACAACATGGACACAGAAATGGGAGCGTTGTTTGCACTATTGTCTGTTTTAGGCGCCATTGTGCAGTTTTTCATTTGTTACGTTTAGTAACAACTCGACCTCGTCGCCTGTCCACAAAAATACCTCTCTTGCTTTCTTTTCCATCGCGTTCATTGTTCAACCGGCGTTTGTTGACTAACAATAACCAAATGCCGAGCGAGACACATGCTTCCTGTTTATACTAGAACGCGCATACCCAGAGTGCGCGCATGGTCACGTGATATGTTTTTGGTGGCGTAGTGTGGACGGAGAAATGTTTAGAAACGCAAGTGTGGACGCGGATCGTTTTTGATCTAAAATCGTTTTTGATCTAAATAGTAACAATCAGCTGGTTTGTCTATAAGCTGGCATACGAGCGGTCTGCTGATGAATTTTGGTTTTAAAATGCTCCAGTGTCCCGGTATCTGTTGTGAGACTCAGTAAACAGCGGTGAATTAAGTAAACTAATGACCTTCACGGCCAATCACAGTCATTTCTGTTGAGCATGTAAACACAATGGCAAATCAGTGCTGGTTAAGTTAGTGGGAAATGGACATTTTTAAAATGTCAGGATCGATTGGTACCAAACTCTAGTATCGTGACAACCCTAGTTTATGTCATTTCATTCTTAAATAAATATAACTGTGACTTATGTAAAATTTTTAGATTTTATTTTATGATGTTATTAATGCAAGTATTTAATATGTTTAAGAATATGTATATTCACAATTTAATGCTTTTTGGATGCAGAAACAGATGTGATGTCTCATCTTTGGCATACTTTTTACAAGGGGTGTAACTAATCACGGTTGATCTGTAATTTGTACGGATCACAACCCACAGTTCTAAACACACGTGACCTGTGGATGAATACATTTTTTTACTGGTAGTTTAATCCTAAATTTGTAATGATTGCAGAGAGATCGCCTCTCGCGTCATTCACATCACATGTATGAAAGCATTCCTGTAAAATATAATGATGACTGAAACAGCTGTGGTGGGTTATTGGGGATGTGGTGGGTTTCTTAGGTTATTAACGGTGTTTTCTGTCACTGCTTGTTTAGCCTGCATTAATGCATTCAGTAACTGCACGATTAATCATTAAAAGATCAGAATCTCAACACCCACTCAACATTAGTTATAAATGAAGCTGATTTGCTGATGTTTATTAATCCTCGAATCGCTGCATTCAAATCTGTGTTTGAAAAATGCAAAAATCAAGAAAGAGATTCAGTCTTTACTCTAAGTTAGTTATTAAGTTACAAAAAGTCAAATAACGAGAGGGAGTAAAATCTCTCCGTGGCAGGGGCAGCTGCCTCTAAACCTGCCAGTGGTAAGTGCGCCTTCCACAAATACCTGCCACTCTATTCGTCACCGCTAGAGGCAGCTTCCTCTAAACCTGCTACTGCTGAGCGCGTCTGAGGTTAGTGGCCACCACGGTTAAACAGGTCTGCTATGGAACTGGCCTTTTTTGCAGCGGCTACTATGGAACTCATCACGATTATAGGCGCCTGACACAGAATCCGTCATGGTTAGTGGCCGCACTGTTATGCATTTCTGGATTTACAGCCCATGAGCAAATGACATCAGTGCAGCCAGTATTTAACAGGGAATTTTAATATCCTGATTTCAGGCCACGAAAAATCATATAAATAAGCTACTAAACTTTTTAAAAATTATAATTTTTTTCTCAAGAGAAATATGAAAATGTTTTGTTTAGATTTTGTGAGATTTGTGATCCGTTACACCACTACTTTTTACATTGACTTAATTGATTTTATCACTAAAATAAACAATACTACAAATATTTCTTACTGAAACAAACAAACTATATACACTAGGCAAACTAAAATACAAAAATATAAGTCATAATGACATTCAAATCAAGTGTATAACAACACTGCAACGTCTGTAAACTAGCACAGCAAATATTCAGTATAAAATAATGTTAACCATGTCAGCACTTACGATAATTTTATCCAAACCGTGAGATTTGTGATTCGTAACACTACTACTTTTTACTTTTACTTATATTATGTAATCACTAAAATAAAGAAATACTGTAAATTCATTCATTCATTTTCTTGTTGGCTTAGTCCCTTTATTAATCCGGGGTCGCCACAGCGGAATGAACCGCCAACTTATCCAGCAAGTTTTTACGCAGCGAATGCCCTTCCAGCCGCAATCCATCTCTGGGAAACATCCACACACACAGTCATACACTACAGACAATTAAGCCTACCCAATTCACCTGTACCGCATGTCTTTGGACTGTGGGGGAAACCGGAGCACCCGGAGAAAACCCACACAAATGCAGGGAGAACATGCAAACTCCACACAGAAACGCCAGCTGAGCCGAGACTCGAACCAGCGACCTTCTTGCTGTGAGGTGAGAGCACTACCTACTGTAAATATTCACCCCTAAAATAAACAAATACTATATACACAAGGCAAACTAAAATACAAAAATATAGTCATGACATTAAAATCAAGAGTATAACACTACAATGCTAATAAACTAGTACAGCAAATATTCAGTATAAAATAATGTTATATATAACCATGTGATCCAAACTGTGAGATTTGTGATCCGTTACTTTTTACTTTTATTATTTTATCCCTACAATAAACAAATACTACAAATATTTACCACAAAAATGAACAAATACTATATACACAAGACAAACTTAAAATACAAAAATGTAAAATAATCATAATAGCATTAAAATCAAGTGCATAAAGTAACACTACAACCTCTATAAACTAGCACAGCAAATATTCAATATAAAAATGTTTATATATAACCATGTCAGTACTTGAGATACTGTGATCCAAACCATGAGATCTGTGATCCGTTACGCCACAGCTTTTTACTTTTACTTATATTATTTTATCACTTAAATAAACAAATACTACAAATATTTACCACTAAAATAAACAAATACTATATACACAAGGCAAACTAAAATACAAAAATATAAAAGTCATAATAACATTAAAATCAAGTGTATAACAAAACCTCCATAAACTAGCACAGCTAATTTTCAGTTTAAAATACTGTTATTATATATATATATATATATATATATATATATATATATATATATATATATATATATATATATATTATTTTATCACTAAAATAAAGAAATACTGTAAATATTAACCACTAAAAAGAACAAATACTATAAACACAAGAACATAAAAATGCAAAAACGTAAAATAGTCATAATAGCATTAAATTCAAGTGTATAATGTAACAATAAACCTCCTATAAACTAGCACAGCAAATATAAGTCATAAATAAATTTTTAAAACTCTATAACTATGTAAGCACTTAAGATAACTGCTAAACTAAAGCATTCATAGTTTGATTATGTGTAAGGGTGTATCAGTCAGTAATAAAATCAGAATCTGGCGTCCCATAAATAAATCACACTGATTTCAAAGGTTACTAATACAAAGTTGAACCCTTGCTGATCAAACTCTGAAATCCACTTCTTCAGCTCAGCATGTGAGCCTCAAACATCACACAACAGCCAAACTCATGATGACAGCTGAATCTGCATTAAAAGCCTTTGACAAACTTCAAACCCAAAACATGAAGAAACTGAAGCTGATTTCCTCTGACAAGTATGAAACAGCCTGTTGTACTCGTATGTGCTGTCAGTTAGTTTAGATGCTAAAAACGGCCACAAACAAGCCCAGCACATCACGAACTAAACCCACGTCAATAAATCAGCCTAAAGTGATTGATACACGACATTTATCGCACTGATGTCGAGCTCATTCACTCATTAGCACTGTTAGCATTAGCCGCTACCGCACAGTCTCTGCTCATCACACAAAAGCCACGTTCATTAGCAGCTTTAAAAATACCGTTTTGTAAACATTTACACTTGGTCAGCAGCAAAATCACGAGTATATCAAGATAAACATCACAAATATAAGAAAGACATTTTATTTGATTCAAAAATCAGCGGCCCAGAGCGACTCTCAGGCTCTGTGTCAAAACCTATTGAACTCCCTATCTAGTCAGCATCTTCACTGCTTCATAAGCGCACTCAAACTCCAGCAAACTAACCAAGATGAGCCAAAACATACCAAAGAAGATATAAAGCGTCTGTTTGACCTCTCGAACACGTCCCTGGCAGCCACATACAGGGATAGACGCTGTTTATGAAGGGAACGCGACAGGTTTTGACACGTAGCCGCAAGCTTTCTCACCTGGACGTGAAGACTTTGGAGCAGCTGATGGAGCTGCTCAGGTCGCACATGGCGCGGTAGTTGGCGTCTCGGGTTTTTTCCCTCTCCACATGGAATGAATACAGGGATAACAAAATTCCTGAGAGACACACGAGCAGCCGGACTATCCGCTCCCAGCGAGGGGTGGACACTCGCAAGACGGGCGCCGCCATTTTTTCCCGGCCTTTGCACGAGCGCGCGCAGCCTCCCCTGCCTGAAACCGTTGGGCGCGCGGCGGGAGAAGGGCTGGGCGGCGACGTGGAAAAGCGTCGGGGGCGTGTCCCAAGGTGGGCGCGGCCTTAATGATCTAAGGTCTGTTTTGGTTTGTTGCTAGAAGAGATACAGCTGCGTCCTAAAATAATTAAAATTAGAATAATAACACCTAAAGAGAGATACAGCTGTGGGGGTAAGTTAACGAGAATTATTTATATTGCTTATTAAATTACTCAGTAATTGTATTTTATCAACTCTTTACCCCAACAATAAACCCAACCATCACAGTTATGTAAAACAGTAATTAAACCGAGTTTTATTGATATTATTTAATAAATTACCAATTAAATTGTATTTTATTAACGTTTATTCCAACCCCAACCATCACTCTAATGTAAAAACCGTAATTATATTGAGTAATATTCATAAAATTGATTAAATTAGCCATTAAGTTGTATTTATTAACGTCTACCCCAACTCCAACCATTACTCTAATGTAAAAACAGTAATTATATTAATATTTATATTATTTATTAAATTACCAATTAATTGTATTTTATTAGCGTCTACCCCAACCCCAACCCTAAACACAATCATCACAGGAATGTAAAACAGTAATTATACAGAGTATTGTTCATATTATTTATTAAATTATCCATTAATTGTATTTTATTAATGTCTATCCCAACCCCAACCATCACAGTAATGTAAAAACAGTAATTATACTGAGTATTATTCATATTATTTATTAAATTACTCAATAATTGTATTTTATTTACATCTACCCTTTTTCCAACCCTAAACTCAACCCTCACAGTAATGTAAAACAGTAATCATACAGTTTATTATTCAATTATTGATTAAATTACCCATTAAGTTGTATTCTATTAACGTCTACACCAACCCCAACCCTCACAGTAACGTTAAAACATTAATTATTGCTGTACAAAATCACTGTATTGAGATGAACGTCCGCAGCTGTATCCCCTCTAGCTGTCTCCGTTTTGTTTCAGAGTGGGCGTGGTTTGACTGTTAGGGGCGTGTCCTCCAAGTGTCTCGCCATTCTTGTGTCAGTGGGGGCCACTATTATAAACTGCAGGCCTTTTGCACCCTTATTATTGCACACTCCAACACTGTAAATGGTGTATTATACAGAGAGGGATGATGAGCTAGCGTCCAAAATGTAGATTTAGTCTCAGAAATTTAGTAGTAATAATTTTTGTTAATAATATTGCTTGAAAAGGGTGCATGCTGGTATAACAAACAAAGTGTTTTTGAAGAGCTAGTGTCCCAAAAAATGTAGATTTAGTCTTAGAAAATAAGTAATTGTTGTAAAAGAGTGCACTTTGGCATGTTATACAGAGACAAAAATGTAGATTTAGTCTTAGACAAATAATATGTTGTCATTAGTATTGCTGTATATTGTATTGCATGATGTATTTCATATAAAATAACAAAATTAAACAGAATTTGATATGCTTTTTTAATGCTTAAATGACTTGCAGCATTGCACTGAAATGATGTGACCATGCTTTATGAAGTGGAACTACACTGCCACGTTGTGGCGCCTTAAAGTGACAGTACACCCAAAAATGAGAACTTCCTCACCTGTTTGTTCACAATGAAGTGGATCTAAACGTTAACAGGTTTCTTTCTTTTGTTGAACAGGAAGGAAGATATGCTGAAGAATACAGGAAAAGGCAGCCATTGACATCATAACAGAAAAATAAAACACTATGGAAGTCAATGGCTGTTTTTTCAGCATTCTTCAGGTTATCTTCCTTCGTGTTCATTCATTCATTCATATTTTTTTTGGCTTAGTCCCTTTATTAATCAGGGGTTGCCACAGTGGAATGAACTGCCAACTTATCCAGCATATGTTTTACGCAGCGGATGCCCTTCCATCTGCAACCCATCACTGGGAAACACCCATATACACTCATTCACACACACACTCATACACTACGGCCAATTAAGTCCATCCATTCGCCACTGGATTAAATGGCTCGATTTGCTCTTCAGTGTTTGAACTCTCAGCAGTGAATATTAAACCACACTAAACTAACCTTAAACTCTGAAGACCAGACTGACACTGTTTAAAATCACTATAATCTTCTATGTGAAGCTGCTCTGACACAGTTTACGTTGTAAAAGCGCTATACAAATAAAAGTGAATTAAACTAAATTGAGTGAAAGACAAAATAATGCTGAAATAAAATATTAGAAAACTTATTTGACTTAGCTGTCAATGCACCTTTGTTTTTTTAAATGATCCATTCAGATTACTTGCAGTGAAATTACAAAACAAACAAACAAATAAATAAATAAATAAATAAATAAATAAATAAATAAATAAAATTTATTTAAAAAAGAAAATATAAATGCATTAAAGAATTAAATTAGAAATGCTGCCTTGGCAACTTAATAAAATAAGTCAAAACATTTGAATGACTAAAAAAATGATGGAGCATTAATAAAATATATAAAGACAAAA